CTGGCACCTATTTTTCCAGATGCAGCTCAGTGCACCCCCTGCCCAGAAGACCAACACCCAAGCATGAACCATGTGCTGTGCATTCCCAAGACCATGAACTTTCTCTCCTATGAGGATATACTCGGCTTTGTTTTAGTTTGTCTAGCTCTTTTCTTCTCTTTGATCACAATCCTTGTGTTGGCAGCCTTCATCAAACACTGCAACACACCAATCGTCAAGGCCAACAACCGCAATCTCACCTACATCCTCCTGGTCTCTCTCCTGCTCTGCTTCCTCTGCTCCTTCCTCTTCATCGGGCAGCCAAGGAACCTTACCTGTCTCTTCCGACAAACTACTTTTGGCATCATCTTCTCCATTGCCATTTCATCTGTGCTGGCAAAAACTCTGACTGTAGTTGTGGCCTTCATGGCTACAAAGCCAGGAAACAGGACACGAAAACTCCTGGGAAAGCAACTGATTGTAGTCTTGGCTTGTCCCCTTCTGCAAACAACTCTTTGTGCCTCCTGGCTGGCAATCTCCCCCCCATTTATGAATTTGGACTTTCATTCTGTGAAGGGAGAAATTGTGATGGAATGCAATGAAGGTTCAACCACCATGTTTTATGCTGTCCTGGGCTACATGGGTTTTCTGAGTCTCATCAGCTTTATAGTGGCTTTTTTAGCCAGGAAGCTGCCTGACAGCTTTAACGAAGCCAAGTTCATTACTTTTAGCATGCTGGTCTTTTGCAGTGTTTGGGTCTCCTTTCTCCCCACCTATCTGAGCATCAAAGGGAAGTCCATGGTAGCTGTGGAGATCTTCTCCATCTTGGCCTCTGCAGCTGGTTTGCTGAGTTTCATCTTCTTCCCCAAATGCTACGTTATAGTACTGAGGCCAGATCTGAACGATAGAAATCACCTCATGAGGAAAATTAAGTAGGAAATAAGAAAATGTATAGTTATATTTGTACAGATTAATGTAGATGTTTCCACTCCAATTATGTCCAGGCCCAACAAGCACACCCTAGCTAAAAGTGACATTGAGGTTTTCCTGGTTTTTGCTAACTGTATATGACTGTAACTATGTGACCTATTTAGAAAGATCTGCAAGAAGCCTTTCAATTTTATTCAAACAAATACGAAGAGAAGGACGAGGGGGGACATGATAGCAGTGTTCCAATATCTTAGGGGCTGCCACAAAGAAGAGGGAGTCAGGCTATTCTCCAAAGCGCCTGAAGGCAGGATAAGAAGCAATGGGTGGAAACTAACCAAAGAGAGAAGCAACCTAGAACTAAGGAGAAACTTCCTGACAATTAGAACAATTAACCAGTGGAACAACCTGCCTCCAGAAGCAGTGAATGCGCCAACACTGGAAGTTTTTAAGAGGAAACTGGACAGCCATTTGTCTGAAATGGTATAGGGTTTCCTGCCTGAGCAGGAGGTTGGACTAGATGACCTCCGAGGTCCCTTCCAACTTTAGCATTATTATTATTATTAAATACCAGAAAAAACTCTATTTAGCGTTAAATTTCCCTCCCTTTTATCCCCCAAAAAGCAATCTTTAATTATTGTGCTTTGTAATGTTGCATTAACATTTTCATCATTTGTAGTTCTTCTTACTTTGAGCAACTGACCTGATACTCTTAACACTTGTAAGATGTGCTAATAAAGCCTGTAAAGATTGCTCACCCAGTAAGGAGAATGTCTATGGTAACTTCACATTACAATGAACAAGAATATACATTCAATTTTGCAGGAACTAAAATTGTTGGCCTTGGGACAAAACAACCATCATAAATATGAACCGACTGCCAAGTGTCTGAATTTTGATCATGTGACCAGGGGGATACTGCAATGGTTGTAACTGTGAAAATTGGCCGTAAGTCACTTTTTCCAGAGCTGTTGTAACTTTGAAAGGTCACTAAATGAACTGTTGTAAATCAAGGACTATCTATACTCCTCTTTCTATTTTTAAAAGCTACAGGATAAATGAGCTTCTAATGTCATTTCTTACCATTTAGGAATAAAA